ATCCTGCACCTCCCGTCCCTTCACTGCTGCATTTACACCCCCGAATTTGTCCCTCATGCCTGGAGGCAGCCTCGATGGTGAGCTGCACATCCAGGCACACCGCGTGTGACCCCGGAACAGCGCTGAGCCCTCCGGTTCCCATCATGGTCCCCACCTCCCTCTTTGCCACCCACAGCAGACCCTCAGCTGTGGCCAGCCTGGGGCTCACCTGCCTGCGGGTGACCCGTGGCTCCCCCGGTACAGCCCCACCTGCGACTGCTCCACGCGCTGGCTGTTGCTCATCTGGCTCTGCAGCCGGCTGCGAGCAGCCTCCTCGCTCAGCCCGTCCCGGGCCATGATGCGCTTCACGGCCTGGGGACCAGAGTTGACACTGAGGTGCTCGGAGGGGAGGCAAGAACCAGCCCCAGCAGCAAGTGCAGGGCTGAGGGGCATTGCCCACCTCCTCCTCTGGGATGACGGCCGTCCACACCTCGTGGACCATGTCCTGCCAGCCAGCCTCCAGCAGCACCGCAGCATCCAGCACGCACACGGCCTTCCCTAGGGAAGTCACGCAGGGGTTTGCTGAGATGTGCTCATGAAAACCCCAGCAAGCTGCCCCACAGAACAGAGGGGTCTGAACACGGAGAAGACTCACAGCACTGCCAAAAGCAGTGATTCCCGGGGTGCTGGGCCGTGGTGGGCTGCACGAGACCATGCACCCAGCTCCCACCTCTGCTGTGACAGGAGCTGGCACAGTTACCTTGAGCGCCTGCCTCCCCAATCTGCTCCCTGACCATCCGGGCTATCTCCGGCCACACGATGTCCGTGAGACTCTTCAGTCGCTCCTGGAAGGGACCATGGTGGGAGTTGGTGACGCGTCCTCAGACCCCCGGGCAGCCAGCAAGGGGTCACTGGGCCAGCAGCAGCCATGGAGGACACCCAGAAAGGACCAGCTAACGCATAGGGATGGATCCAGCAGTGCCCACTGTGAAGGGCGCTTTGCAGAGACCCCTCTGCAGCACAGCAAGCTCCCAGGGCAGCAGCATCCACGCAAGACCCCTTGGTCTCGGGGAGCCCCTTGAGCCACCTTCATGCCTGGGCTGGGGCAGCCCACGGGACCTGCACGAGGGGACGGGCGCTGGCCTGGCCAGTGAAGCCCAGTGCAGAGGGTTGGGTTTGGCTGCTGCAGCACTGAGACCCACTGGGTGCAAGCCCAAACCACAGAACAGTCAGAGAGCATCAGCTCTGTGTATGCCAGGGCTCTGTGCTCAGTGAAAATCAAGGGTGGGACAGAGGGGACAGGGATGGGGACAAGGTGGCTGCGGTGAGAGGAGTGGTCCAGCACAGCTGCAGCCTCAGATCTGTGTGTCCTGCCCTGTCCATGCGTCACTGCCACAAAGTGCAGCCAGGAAAGAAAGCACCAGCAGCTCAGAGGGCTGAAAAATAAAAAGCCTCAGCTCCCAGCTCAGGAGATTAAATATTGACAGCTCCATGCTGCTCTTACCTGGCTTCCAAACACTTTGGCCCCAAGGACTTTCCTGTTTATTGTCCCATCTCCATTCAGGATTTCTGCAAGACGAAGCAGAGCAGGCTTGGGAAGAACAAATCCAAGTGGCTTCCCTGCAGCAAGCCCAGGTCAGAGCGAAAGGATTTCGACACAGGGCTCCCAAGAGGATTTCTGCAAGACGAAGCAGAGCAGGCTTGGAAAGAACAAATCCAAGTGGCTTCCCTGCGGCAAGCCCAGGTCAGAGCGAAAGGATTTCAACACAGGGCTCCCAAGAAGACCCAGAAAGAAGCTGCAGGACCGGATCCAGCAGCTCTTCGTATCACTCCAGGAAAGGACAGGGAAGCCTTTCCCACACCAAGGGCAGCCTGGTTTGGCCTCGCACAGCAGCTCTGACACGGGACACGATTTGGGGAAAGCAGTGGTTTGCCCCGCTCAGGCGCAACCATCACCGAATCAGCTTCAGAGCCCGATCTGGGTGGTGTGGGGCCCGAATCCGATGGCACAGCCCTCCCTCCTCTTCCTCCCCACGGCCACCAGTGGCTCTACCTGCCCCAAAAGCTGCCACCACGCGCTCGTAGGCAGGGCCACCGGGGACGTAGACAGCGTGGCCCAGCTTGTCGGCGTCAATGAGGAAGGCTCCCAGATGTCCCAGCAGTTTGGCGATGGAGGTTTTCCCGCTCCCGGTTCCCCCGGTGAGGCCGATCACGTACGGACGTGAGCGCAGGGCAGGGTCGTGCTGCGGGAGGAAGGGAAGGCACTGTCAGCAGACGAAGGATGTGGGCTCTGCTGGAGGATCCCGACCACCTGGCCTGGAGACAGCCATGAAGGGTCCTGGCCCTGCAGAGACGCCCGTCCCCCTGGGCACGCTGTGACAGCCCACGGCTCCCAAGCATCCCCCTCACCCGCGGGGGCTGTAGCAGCGTCCCGAGCAGCCTCTGCCGCAGGCTGGAGGAGCTGATCTTCTCCTCCTCGCTCTGAGCGTGGTCAGGGTCCTTCATCAGCAGGATCTCGTAGAGCGCCAGCTCGGGTAGCCCCTGCCAAAGGGAGAGCCCCGGGGTCATCAGCCCCGGCACGAGGGACAGGTCTGCAGCGCAAATGAGGCCACGGTCGCCCCAGCAAGGGGCTTTGTGGGGCGCAGTCCACCAGGCCCCTGCGCAGCCATTACGTTTTCCAGTCTCTTCTTGTTGACGGCCTCTCCGCCCCTGCGGGTCTCCTCGCTGACCACCAGGCACTGCAGGTCGGGGTCTGTGATTGAGGGGCCGTAGGGGTCCAGCAGAGGCACGATGTCGTAATGCAGCGAGGGCATCACGTCCTCCAGGAACTCACGCAGCTTCGCCGTGCGCAGCTCATAGGGCTCGATCAGCTCCGCCAGGACCTTGTCTGTGGGCGCCAGGAGGGCACAGAAGTGAGAGAGCAACTTTAACAAGCACACAGCTTCAGGGAGGTGGAGAGCAACGGAGAGCAAGACCAGGGAAATGGAGACAGAATCCGTGTGTGATTTTGGGAGGCTGTCTCCTCTGGCTCCGCTGCACCCTCACGTCCCCATCTGCACGCCTCGGTCACTGGTGCAGATGAGACGTGAGGTCCCCATCAACACCCGGCCCAGACAGCACCACCCGGGTGCTTTGGGTGTGCGGCTCCCGGGATGCCATGCACCCCAGGCACTCGGAGCCCCAGCACCGTCCCCTCAC